CATTTGAAAATGAAAAAGTCAAATGGAAAAAATCTGTTGTAGTGAGAACAGGAGATCTGACAGGTCAGTGATTTGATCGATTTCTCTATGCGCCAGATGTTAACGAAATTAGTCTACTCGTATAAGTATGAGGAGTATGAGTAGGTCGACATGTGCCAGATATAAGAATTTTAATTTCTCAAGTCGAGGAGACACTAGATAAGTGAAGTTGTCTTTTAGATCCTTTATCGAAAATTGCTATTGTTTTAAGGTGTTTTGATGCCTTTTGAAATTAATGCCGTCCACTTGGAGGAAATGCAACGTTTTGGCTAGAATTTATTCAAGTTCTGCGTAGTATTTTGGAATTAATAGGACAAAATGTTGATTGCCTAATCACGTAACGAGCAAGTTTCTAGACTTTTTTCCCCTCACAGTCCCATTTTCCTGGTTTATTTCCTTGAAATCCTTAAACATTCTTGTATATCTCAGATAAACGAAACGTGGATACAATGCCAATATAATCAAATAATTTACTGCCCGTTTATTTTGAACTGAAAATATTTTTTTAGTGCTGGGTAGTGTTTTCTTTAAAACAAAGTTTCAAAATACCTCGCGTTGTTTGAAGCGAAACCGGGACCGTTTATTTTGACAAAAAAATCGCTCTTTGACTTGAAAAATCACTAATCAGTAAAACGTTTCTCTAATTGCCCTCCAACTCTGATTGATTGGCTTTACGTAAAGGATCTCGAATGTCAAAATATTATTTTATATCACAGTTCAAGCAAAATGGGTTTGGCATTGTTTGCCATTCGTATTTTCAGTTCATAAGACACGCAATCGACCTTGCTTTTGTATACAATGAGTAGGAGATTTGCGAATTTTTTCGAGTTAAATCGTTTTGAGGCCTTGAATTCGCAGACTTTGAGACTTTCAGCCAAAATAATGAAAACTTAATGCTCCATTTATTAATGAAAGCAAATAGATCCTTATTGCTAGTCTCGGTTACAGAAAAGAAAATTTTTCGGATACTAATTGAAGTATAGTATAATGTTTTTAACAAAACATAAATGCTCTGACAAATTCCAGTATAAAACGGAATAGGTGAATTGTGTTTGTGAATTCAAACTGAGATAGAAAGGGTTTGTCAAAAGCTCATAAATCAGGTATGGGTCTAATTTCCAGAACATTTTTTTAATTAGAAAATTTCTAAGACGTATATTTATCAATTGATTTTAATAAGAATTTCAGAAGGCGATTCCTCAGGTATTTTAAGATAAAAAGTCTCTATAGGACCGCTAGGCAAGCGAGCTACAGAGTGTTAAAATATTGTTTTTTGTAATATGAGAAGCTTAAAGTTGATTTTGGTTTAGCCCTTGCATGTGGCGGGTCCTACCTACAAGTATTTTTCTCTATCTCATCTTCAATCAAAATATCTAATCTGGTCAGATGCGACTTTAAAAGGCCTGTTTTGGGGGCTAAATGGATGAAAGTTAAATATTATTGGTGGTATGGTGTTAAGTTGTTCGGAAGGATGTCAGAATATTGGGACAATAGTTTGCGCTCGATTTCCTGCTGTAGAACATTGTTTAAATAATCAAGGAAACTGCTAAAAACCGTTTTTGCACATACCTTGTGAACCCTTGATGCTTTTCAAAAAAATAATACTTTTTTCAAGTATTGAAAACACCTACAATGTGAGAGAAACAATTCATTTGTTTACTCAAAAAACGTAAAAACCCGCCGATTTTTAGTTTTGCTTCAAAAAAATCGAACTATAACTTTTCTGAAGGCCTTCGTACATTTTATAAGTGGTATAAATTTGAAAATTGAACAAAAAAATTGAAAATAATTTAGGTAGGTACCCTCTAACTTTTAACATTAAGAATTTCTGATTTTCAACATAATGTTTAAACTATTTACCATTCAATATTTATTTTATTGTACGTTGTAGTATAACTCCTTATGAGTAAAACAGATCCTTGGAGAAGTTTCTCCGACGTCTCTTAGAAAGTATCTTAAAAATCTGGCAAGAGCCTCTTTTACATAACAAATAGAAATGAACAAAAATAAATGCATATTTCAGTTCACAACTCAAAATTTATACTACTTAAAACCCGTACAAGGATCTTCAAAAAAGTTATACTACGATTTCTTAGAAGCAAAACTAAATTAATTATAGAAAATTTAAAAAACGCAAAAATCGCCGTTTCTTTTGATTTGTGAGTAAGCAAATAAACGGATTTTAGTTTGTCTCGTTTTGTAGGTATTTTTAATGCTTAAAAAAGTATTAAAGTTTTCTCAATAGTATTAATGGTTTAAAATTTATGCGCAAAAACTGTTTTGGCACCTTCTTTGATTATTGAAACAATGTTCCACAGCTGAAAATCCTGCTTTATCTTTTACCTTCATCCATTTGGTGTCTGGAAAACCTTTAATCTGACTGGACTAATCTTGAAAGCGGTTGTTCCTAGCAACTTTTAATAAGAATACTATTTTCACGTGGAAATGAAATAGGAATAGATTTTCTGGCTTAGAAATGTGACAGCATGCATAAAAAATGTAGGAGTCTTTAAAAGAAAAAAATACTACTTGTCCTCTAGCGCTGTCTACATGTAAGAGCCAAACCAAGATCCAATTTAAGTTTCTCATGTTAGACAACCCCCAAATACCAAGTTTTGTCAAACTATTGATATCATTTCAAAAAATAAGTTATGGATATATTGAGATTTGAAGGACCACCACTTTTCTTTAAATAGGTCTATAGTAAGTGGAACAAAGATTAGTTTATGGTACTGATTTACGATCACGATTACATCACGAATCAATAAGGTGTGTCGCCCTACGCCGTCTCGCCTTTTGTCACTTCCGCCCTTGCGTCATGCGCACGACAAAGCAATTCCAGATTACGAAACAACGTGTTTTAAGCTAGATGGCGCGACAATACGTAAAAATAGTATAAATTATAAATCTAAAAGTTAGATGCAAATTAGAGCAAACAAATGTCCGATAAATCTTAAACAATTTACCAGAAACAAAAATCAATCTTTTAACACCTTATAGCTCGATAAGCAAGGCTTTGCGAACCCAATTAAACTTTTTATACAAACATACAAAAATACAAATCGCGGAAGACTGTTCAGACTGCTAACTTGCTTAAAGTTAGACAAATTACTTTTTAGAAAAATTACTTTTTTTAAAGATTTTATACATTGTTTTTTTAATCCCAAATGCCACCCTTCATTCAGACAGGTTATTGTTGGCTAAGGTATCAGCGTTGCATTTGTTGTTACTTCGTGAAAACTGGAAGTATATAATAATGTGAAATATGCATAAAGTTTACCTTTGTTGGACAGATCCGCTGCATTAAATACATAACAAAAGTGTGTTATTTGTTACATGCAATTTGATTCCTTTGAAAAAGTGAAAGTTGCCGAAGAACATGAAAGCAGCCTCAACTGAACAACGGATGGTTGAAGTGATACTCAACACAGTTCATATAAGCAACGATTGTGACCGGTTGGAGCTTGTGACCGGATGGCTACCATCTTAAAAGTTCTCGTTACCCGAAAAAGTCTTTGAACATCAACCTGTGATATTAATTTTTTTTTTACTTATTTTCCTGACTGTGTGTAATTGTTATTATATTATTTTCAATAATAAATTGAAGGTTTCAAGACAGCAAAGACCTAAATTAATATAATGTTTACCAATTATGAGTTTGAATGAATTTTAAAATTTGATGATGGCACTGTTGTCTCGCCGAAACGTAACGAAATAAACGATATACAAAAAAAAATTGTTTCACACTGTGACTGGAGCGCAGGAAAGAAAATAATATAATATTAAATAATGAAAACTAATGTTGTGAAAGGAGGTTATGAAGTGAAGCTGAGGAGCTTTTATTAAACATACGTATAATTAAATTCCATCTTCTCATTCTATCATTCATCTAAATGCCGGCATTTGCTATCATTTCTTTGGCAGCTCACCTGAACAATTACATTTAGAAAGGTTGAACTTTTCTCAACTGGTAAGAATAACGCATTTATAATGCCTTAGTAAGATTAGTTGACTTTTCAGTGAGGAAATCGTCATTTGCAGGTGCGCTGAAATCAGTGAATGTCAACTTTTTATTTCGGCTTTTGCAAATATGTCTTTTTTAGTGTGAATATTGTTTGGCCCTCTTTAAATACCCCCAGGCAACACTTGGTGAATGGCTCCGATTTTTAATCACCTTGTTCTCTCATTTACACTCATTTATACCTGCGATGATAATAAATACAACATTGATATATGCCAGCGCTTCTAAAAAGCGTTTAAAGCATTATTATGTTTGAAAAAAATATCTGCAAATATCTTAATATTGCAATATTATTAGCGATTCACAAAGATTTAAGTAGGTATTTGATTGAACTTACCTTATTATTTCCAGACTTGATACTTGTGGCATTGAGATTGCCAGTACCTGAAAATGGAAAATATTTCGTAAAATATCAGATGGAATTATCAAGGCTTGGGCGAAACACTAATTAGTTACTATTGCGAAAGGACGTACTGAAATTTAGTGCCATTATTTGATGCTGTTCTGCCAGCATAAAATTATATGGGAAAAATATGAAAAAATAAAATAAAAAATATAAAAGCAAAATGAGCTTCGACATAGAAGCTATTCCCGGGAGATAGCAGGATCCCGCTCGTGAGTCCCGATTCCCTTGAGTATAGTACGCGCCAGGCGGCACAAAATTAATGCATTCCCTAGAGAAATTCCAGCCGCGGTCTCCCTAGTGGATATGCATGTTCGCGCCAACTCCGCTATCCATAATATCCAAAATAACCTGAATATGTTTGTATAAAGTGAAAACAGTTCATATCGATTGCAATTCGGACCAGTTAAAACTTACTGAAACACAATACATCAATAAATTAAAAATCTATATTTATTCATAATGACTAGAATCAAATTAGTCTTAAAACGAAGCAACTAATTATTTGTAAGCTGAAATAATTTATTGAAAAAAGGATGACATTTACAACAATATTTATTAACATATTTTTTTAGCATGTAACATATCACGATTTGAGAGATTTGCCGGTGCCAACAATTCAATCGCAGACAATTAAAATGGATAAACACGGTTAATTAATTTTACATAACAGACAACAAGGTATAATTCCAAAAAAAAATACTTTTACGCCAACTAAGTAGAATCAACGAGTAAAAACATCTCAACAACTGATCAGTATCAAATCAATAAATAAATTAACATGGATTGATGCGCTATATTCAAGCACCAGTAAAATGGCGGGCTTGAGCAATGGACTCGTCGCTTAGACAATCAAATTGCATCTTAAAGCTGTGCAAATATTTGTGATTATCCAGTTCCGCTCTGAAAAAGAAGCAGGCAGAACAACGGGAACACTGATAGGGTTTTTCCGATAAGTTGTGTGCCAAGAGGTGAGACTGAAGACCGGCAGCACCTGTAAACACTGAAGAACACACGTAACAATTATACTGGTTAATTCCGAAAAAGTTGTGCTCTATTAAGTGAATTTGCAGTTTTTCTTTACTGGTGAAAGGTTTTTTGCATAGATGACACTCTAGCTCCAAGGTAGTGTTCAGTGTAGTTCCATGATTTACAACTTTATCTCCAAGAGAGAAAACTGCCTCCTCTGAATAAGATTCAGACACTCGACTTCTAGACTGTTCAGAGAGAAACTTCAAGTGAAATTTAGCATGAAGCTCAATTTCTCGATCACTTTGTAGCGTTTGTCCGCAAACGATACAAATATAGGGCAGAATTAAATTCAGCTTAGTAGCAGATTTGGAGTTATTATTGTGTTTAAGCTGATGTTTCACAAATGAGTCCTCGTCGATTAACACTGTCTTACAGGGCACACAAATATTTCCCTCGACAATTTTGCAGTGGACAAGTTTGTGGCTGGCTAATTCTGGAGATGACCCAAAAGTTTCGTCACAAATGTTACATTTATGTCTGGATTTTTCGGACAGTTGATGCGACCTTAAATGCAGGTGTAAATCGTTTTTGGACTTGCAAAACTCCTTACAGTAGTTGCATCGATAACTTGCCGATCCTAAAAACGCTTACAAAAAAAGCTGCGAAGATAACGTGGATTAGTTAATCTTACCTAATAGTCCGGATGAACTTTCGGAAACCCCTTGCACATATTCCTCCTTAATTCTCATACCAATTGAGTCCAAGGAAAGTTTCGATCTATGCTCGTGCCAATCATCAGCGGCAACTTTATTTAACGAATGAAACTTGGAAAAATGCAGCTCAGCAGAGACGCGGTCGTGAAATAACTTTGGCTCTTCAAGACAGTTGCACTCAAAATGTTCGCAGTTGCTTATGTGCTTAGATTTTAAATGTGCCTAAAACAAAACTAAGTACCTTAAAAGACCGAAAAGATCATACAAAAGTACAAAATAATTTATAGGCAGAAAAGATAAAAATATATCGGCCTAAGTGGTATTTCTGTCCCCATGTAACACGCCAATTTTTAAAAGAAAAAAGTGAATATACATATTGAAAGCAAAGAAACTGCTGATTGTACAAAAATAATTTTTATTTACGTGTTTTCAACAATTATTATTTACCAAATAACGTTTTGCCTCTTCGAGACAGTTGCACTCAAAACCTTCAATTAAATGAAAATATAAATGGTTTTTAAAAAACTTACTTTTTTTGAGCGATTAAGCATAAATCAATTTCAAAAGCCTTTTTCTCTGTATATTCCATTTTTACCTTAGCAAATGAGAACCCATGTTCAAATTTGAAAAGCACCGAGCTTATGTTTAGCTGTTGGCAAATTTGTAGTTTTTCATTAAATTTTGATTTTACATGTCAATAATTTACAAAATGTTTCCCATATTAGTAATCCATAGCAAATTTAATTGTATAAACTTTTAGGGAAAAATCCTTCGAATTATAAGTTGCTTAGATGTACATTTTGTTTCATTTCATAGTTGAGAAATTGGAAAAATGAATTGTTCAATATTAAATGTGGTTATTAAAATTAACTTATAATTAAAAATAATAGATGGTAACAAAAATAACTCATAACTTTCCTCACTAGAGTCTTCAGGACATTTGCGTCCATTCAAAATGCTCAGCTAAATTAGATGTTTATTCACATTTAAAACACGTTTGCGAAAAAATTTTTCGGTAAAGCAAAAGTAAGAAGTGCTAATAATTGAACACAGTAAATCAGATTTTGGAAATCGTAACTATAAAAAAAGAGTTGTTGTCATTAAATTACGCCTACATGTCAGAAGTATTATATATGGAAATCACCTTATGTTGGTTGCATCCTATTAACTTTTTCAATATTTTATTTGACCTGTTCCGTAGTTTATAAATGACTTTGTTACTGCTAGTTTAGTAACAGTTTTTACAATAAATCAAATATCTAATTTTATGGTGTTTATTAAGTGCAGATTTATTTACTTTATTTTTTTTGTGCTTTACAGCAACCTATATGCAAATTTAATTTGAACAACCATTAATTAATACTTTGCATGAAGCCGGTCCTGGTCGTTGATTTGAGAAGTTCAGGCAATAAAATACTCAAAAATAGTATCCAACAAATTGATTAACAAAATTAATAAATAAACGTTTTCAATAGTGTTGTCATTAGCTATTTTATAACGACATAACTAATCTAATTATTTGCGATCTTTCAAAACATGGCTCTGCATGGAATTTAAAAACATGCACTTATTTAACAAAATTATAAATAAAGGTAAAATCCGTGAGTGTTGCCAGCTTTAATGAATGAAAACGGATTGTCCTTTTTTAACACAACGTTGAAAGGTATTCTCCCAAAAAAATATGTATTTCCAGTTATTTTTAAATGTGAAAGCTGCCCAAATTTATTTTAAATATACAGGATGATTAATTGATAATTCAAAATAATTTATTCAGATTAGGTTCCCCGTATGGAAGGATGAATTAGGAATAAATACCGTATTAATTTAATTTCAAAGATACAGAGCCCTGCATTTACGAAAATTAGATTTTTTTAACCACCAATATTAATAGGAAACATAATTTTGGACGCGATCTCATTTGCTCAACCCTTTTCAGCAAAGTACCAGTTACTATTGTTGATATTAGTTATCAAACTGTTTTTCTTCTGACCTCATATTCTTCTTCATTTTCCTATACACATTTCACAATTAAGTATTAAGTGCAGCAATAAAAACGCATTTAACGCAACTTTTTACAAAATCAGAATTAAAATTGCTTTGTGTTGTTGGAAACGAACAATAATGCTTATCTTTGCAACATATATTACATTAATATTTATAGTCAAATAAACATTCATACTTAATATAAATAACTATTTCAACAAAATACTATTAATTCTGCTATTGCTTTTACCTTCATCGACGGCATATTGTCAAAGGTTTTCTCACATAAATAGCATCGATACAAAGTAGCAACGTGACGTTCAATCAGATGGTCTTGGAGTTTCTCAGAAGTTTCAAAGTACATGTTGCAGTGGCAACAGCAAAAGTAGTTACTCAATGGAATAATGGAGGAATTGTTAGTGAAAAGGTCATTAGTTTCCGTCTGGTATTGATGGAAAATCTTATTCTTTATGGATGAAACGTGGGTTTCCATGTGTATGAGAAAGCTCTTAAAGTTTGGTAAAGGCTCATAGCAACAAGAGCATATGAAAGACTCTTGAGATGTCGAACTGTCTTCATAGTGTAGTTTTTTTAATGGATAGTCTTCATTTACATGTTCTTCATTAGTTCTCTTTAATAATGATTCTTCTTTTTCCGTTGAAGTGTCAACTTGAAATAAAGGCTCTTGAGACTTTTTGGTGATGTTAAATTTTATCGGATATTTCTGAAACTTAAACAGGACCTGTTATCTAATAGCAGCATTCCAATAAATCATCGTCATTTTTGTTAGTGAAAAATGATTCGCTTTTTCTATCGGCATACTTATTGAATTTTTTAAAATATATATACAAACGTCAGGCGATTTCTCTTGGCCATCCATCAAAACCGTGTTGGGAGTTTACAATATTTTCAACAATAATAATCGAACTAATTATTCCCGTGAAATTAGCAACACGGATTTTTCACACTTCGATCCAGTTAATGGATCAGAATATATATTTTTTATTTTGCATATTGTTTCTGTTTTATTTAGTAATTTACCTTTTTATCGTCTAAAGTTTTATGGCATGTTTGTATGTGCTCCCTCATCAGTTCGATACTGGAAAACCACTGGAAACAATAGACGCAAATAGTTTTTATGTCCGTGTTTTCCTCACTGTCGAAATCACGAGAACTAGGCCAAATAGAAGAGGAATTCTAAAAATCGTTCAATTTTAATGACTTAAATCCACATCTTGTTCTTACACAATCATTTATTGAACATTTTTAATGACACGTACAGTGGGTTGTTTTGTTATAATCTGACATATTTTTTAAATGTCTCAATTTTGTTAATTTATAATTTTAACTTTCAATTTATTAGTGTTTAAATGCATTTTCCTTTCAATCCATTCTAACCTCTTTTGACAAAATAAATATTTAAATCTATAATTTTAGGGCATGGCTCAAACATTTTAAAACATTAATAAAATACTCTCTGTTTTCAATTGAACTTAATTAAATATACAGCTAAATGATTCAAGTGACTGTCTAGCATATAAAAATAGCTAATTAATTAAAAGACTATTTCCCACAAAAAAAAATCATTGAAATTTATTTCAAAAAAGTATTTTTATTTGAAATTAATTTTGATCTGCGTTTAAATCGTCAATCGGTGAGCTCTAAATTTGGAGGAAAATAGCAGATTAGACTGCTTTTTAAAAATGATAATTAGTTCGACAAGTAATAGCCTGATATAATATAATTTAGCTTAATGAACGTTCAACTTTATGTTGGAATATCAAAGGCAGATTCCGTTATCAAGCAAAACAAGTAAATCAAATATATTGCGTGCCATTTAAAATATAAACGCGGAAACTTGCGATTAAGCCACATGGGCGACTACTCTGAAAGCAATATAAATACTTGAAATTGGCCATTTCTTCATTAAAAATGTTCAAAAAGTTAAAATATTCTACTAGATTTATTTTCGCAAAATTATGTACCTGTGGGCCATCAGATTCGTCGCAATCCTCTGAGCCAGATAAAATTTTGGAATAATTCTCCTGTACACTGTTCGTACCTAAATCTTCTTTCTCATGCGATTTTTCATGAAAACTAAAAGCGCTAACAGTATTGTAGCCTTTATTGCACCGATGGCACTTGTACTGTTTTTTCACGTCATGGGTTCTCATGTGAATTTTCAGATGATCGCTTCTGGCAAAAGCTGATTCGCATTGTATGCACTTGTACTTCTTATCTCCCGTATGTAGCTTAATATGTCGATCTCTCGAACGTTTATGTTTAAACTGTCTTGGACAATATGTGCATGAGAATTGCAGAAATTTGCTCTCTGATGAGTCCTACAATTAAGTTTCATCCAACATTCCTAATTATTTTACAGCAGTTACAATCTACCTTATCACTAACGTTATCTCCATCAAACCCCGACTTTGAATTATCTGCATTATCAGCTTTTCTCGAATCATCCCAGTCTCTCTCCTCTTCCGTATCAGAATAACTTTGAGACTTGGGCGATTCTGAATTCGTTTCAGGTAAATTGTTATCAATGCTCGCCGGTCGCGCTTCAGATAAGGTACTACCAGAAATTTCAGAATCTATAAAAGTGGTTTGCAAGAGCAAATATTAAAAAGGACATGAATTAATGTGCCTGGATAAAGCAATGATTTTCTGTGGTAAATTCTGCCTTATTTACCTCAAGTCCTAACATACTACATCCCGAAATATTTAATAGCAATGAGCTTAAAAGATATAGAAAAATCAAATTCATAAACGAGAGATTACTGTTCCGTGAATTAAAAGCCTTATTTACCTTGGCATGAGTTCTCCTTATTAGAATGAATTTTCTCAATAAGTAACTCCAAACGAGTACTGTGGCCTTTGAATAACATTTTCATCTTCTTTTCACTAAGCTAGAACATCTCACTAATCAAACATAGAAATTCACGTATTTTTCCGATGGAGAGCGAAATTGAGCGCTCTGTACGAGCTCTAAAATGCGACTGCCGTCATATTGGGCCATCGGGCGAATACAGAGCTCCAGTCGTATTTTCTTCCCTATTTTGCCCGTCTTTCGCTTTGTTTCTGATGGACAAACGTTGCGATCATATTGGATTTTATTTATTATTTGTTATGTGATCAAATGTCCCCTGGGTTGATTTAGAAAATGAATGCAAAGTTGAGGTCTCTCAAACTTAATAAAAATGCTTTTTGTTATCTTTTTGAGAATATATCAACAAGAACTGACCGATAACCTGGGCTATTGATTGTTTTATGTCAAATAGAATTTTCAGTTACTTCAGAGCACAAGACGAAACTAATTTTAACAACAAGAAAATATGAGACTTTTGAAAGAGCAGCTCTTTAGTTCTTTCGTCGATTGACAACTTTTGGCCACGTGGCAATTTCCGTCTTTCCACATCGACAATTTTCTGGTTCATTACTCTCAACACTGTATAAATACTCTGCATCGGAAGATTACAAGCATTAACTCTTTAAACCAAGATGTACCAAATTCTTCCACTTGTGAGTGTATTTAGCGCTGCATTTTCCACTCTCCCAGTGGAAATGTGGTGTCTTATTTTGAGGCTACTGGATGCAAAGTCCTTGCTTGCTGCAGCTAGAAGTTCGACACGGTTCAACGAAGCGATCAAAGGAGATCCCATTTTGAAGAAAACCGTCCAAAGGGCAATCAAACAGGAACAGCAGGAAATGATGGAAGTTTTGACCAGACCAGGAATGGTTGCCAGCATTACTAGAGATGAACATTCAGTGCTATTTGGGACTAATAGACATAAAAATGTGACAATTGCCAGAAGCAACTATTCGCTTAGGCAAGTAAAGGCATACCATAAGAAAAAGGATGACTCAGGGCGTAAAGCCAGGACCGCACCGACGAAAGATGTTAGGTTTAACCCATACCGAATATAAGAAATTATATGTAAAATATATTTAGATTGACAAATAAATGATTATTTGGGTTTTAAACGTAATTTCTTTATTAAAATTTGGTAATTATCTCATATTTTCAATAATAAGGTATAATAACAATTTTAACGAAAACTTTGGTAAATTCTAAAAATGTTTGGACAAGTAATTGTTGGCTGAAAAATTACGTTTTTTTGCGTGTCAGATAACTCAAATTACATCGTTTTAGTTAGGCACATTCAAATGACAAATTTTAATATTAGCGATTCATCAATTGATTTAAACCATCCGGACATGAAAAAATGTTTGACTCAGTGAATTGTAACAACTTTTATATTAACGTTTCATAACGAACACCACAGGCAAATGTACAAGAGCGAAAATAATATTTACATGAGTGTTAGCGCCAACAGAAGGCTATAAATCATAGAAGCTGGCTTAGGATCGCAACGTCCAAACGAATTTAAGGAAAGTTGCAACTTTCGATGAAGAATTACGTCAGAAAACCGATGTCTCTATATCAGAACGACAGCAGCCACCGGGAAGCATTCGATCAAGTATGTAAAATTATCTAGCAGGTGGAAACCGGGTTTTTAAAACTCATTCGATTTTGATAAGTTTCTTGCTTCGATATATTTCACAACGATTCACAATGCAGACACCGCATGAGAATTTCAAGGGGCACAAAAGAACGCAGGGAGATGACAGGATCAGAAGAAGACAGCAAATTGTAAAA